GGCTGGCGCTGCACGTCCGCTCGCCTGCCAGGCTGTCCGCCTGCTCCGCCAGGAGCCTGCTGTGCCTCAGCGGGGCCGTGTCCCCTGTGGCTGCGGTGGCTGCGCTCTGGCCCTGCAGGATCGAGGCGATGTGGTTCAGGAGGTCCGTGAAGAACTCACTCACGCCCTCGTAGCCTGGGGTGGGAGAGAGACAGCACAAGGCTCAGCCAGCTGGGACTGGAGGCGGCTGCAGCCCGAGGGGAGAGAAGGCACAGAGGCTAGGGCTGCTGTGTAGCCGGACTCAAAGCTGCGTGCGCGTGGCTCAAAGGGCTGGTCCCTGAATGTGCTGCCCCCGCGTGAGAAGCCGATGAGAAAACACTCCCCTCCCTGTCCCTCTCGGGCACAGCTTCACAGGCTCCTTGATCCGGTGGTCTGGCTGGAGGCCACCTGCCTGGGGGACCAAAGGCCTGCTCCTCCTCACGTTCTGAATCACTAACTCCCCTTCCCACCAGGGCCGGCCTCAGCTTCCTCCTGTGTGAGCTGAGAACTTGGGGAGATTCCTGTGGGCACGACCGAGGTGGCTGGAAAGTGGGCGATGCCTGATTCATAGCAGCTGCTCCCAAAATTGAGTCCTCACCCCCAAAATACCTGCGGGGTACTGCCTGTGCCCATGCTCTGAGCATCACAGCCAGGGGGCAGACGGAGCACCCCCGCGAGGCCACACACTCGCAGCGGCTTCCCTAACAAAGTGCAGCCCAGGGTCCTGAACAGAAACTGCTGGGCCTGCATTTCCCACGGCAGAAGCGAATGCACATGTCAGCACAGGCGTCCTTGGGAGCCGAGCAGAATGAGAATGTAGGGCAAGGATTTTGCTGACTCCCCAAAACTACTTCAAGAGACATGCCACCTGGGGTGGGTGCCCCCACCTTCCTAAGCCAATTTGGCAGGACAAGAACCAGGCAAAGGGCTGCAAGAACGAGGGTGAGGACATGAAGCGTGTCTCTGAAGGCCAGTGTGCCCGCTTCAGAGGGGCCTGGCACTGCCCACACCGCCCCACGCACTATGCACCCACTACCACGTGTGCACAAAGGTTCAGGAAGGGCAGGGCTGCCTCATTTGCTCATTCGTGTCTGTGCCCACAGGGAAAGTAAAATGGGTGAAGTAGCTGGCACACACAGTGCCTCCATGGACACACGTCCCCTCACCTGGATCTTCACAGTTCTCTGCCCCGTGTCGCATGAGTGAGAGTCACGTGATTGGCCCCAGAGGCACAAAGAGCCGCCCAGGTGGACGCGGGACTATACATGAGGGTGGAGGTGGTGATGGCGGCCCCGCTGGGTGCATCCTGGCTCACAGAGCACGGCCTCCAAGTGACAGAGCCAGGGTCTGGAGCAGGCCCTTTGGCCCCACCTTGAATCCCATGTGGTGCTGGGCACCCCATCCCAGGACTGGGGCTTCTTTCAGCCCTGGGCTGGGGGAGGGCAGGTGGCCCAGGCCCCTTGGGAGCCACCAGCAGGCGTGCCCATGTTACCAGGGGAGAGACACAGTGTGGGAGGGGCTGGAGTCACGCCAGGAGGCACCAGGGGACAAGCTGTTCCCTCAGCAACCGCTCTGCTGTCCCCTGGTGAGGCCTGGAGGCCCCGGGCGGGTGTTGTACTTCCTGGTGAGGGACGGAGGCCTGAGGGTGACCAGGAGGCCATGCAGGCCGCTCTGGGCCCACAGCTCTGCAACTGAGAGGTGAACCAGCTTGGGGCACCAGCTCAGAACAGGCTCCTCTGTCTCTGCGAGGTGGGAACGCCCCGGTGCAGAGTGAGCACCGAGACTGCCCCGCTGGGTGCTGTCACATCAGACGGCAGGCAGAGCCGGGATGGAGGCAGCCGGAGCGAGAGGCAGGGCGCCTGTGGTCGGGAGCGAGGCCCATCCCGGCTCTACCAGTGGGTAGCGGTGACTTTGGACAAGCCACCCAGCCCCCAGCCTCCACATCACCATCGGTAAGCTGGCAAAGCTCCCAGGGCTGCCTGGTGTGGCGGGTATTGATGCCACCCACTGTTACTACTTCCTGGAGCCCAGCATGCAGCCCTCTCCCGCACGGCCTGATGCACTGTGTGCCCTCCCTGTGCGTGAGGGCTTCCTTGCACCCTGTAAACGCCCCCCAAACAGTGGTGGTATCTCCCACTGAGCCCCTCGCTGAGGCGAGACCACAAGGGCCCAGCATGTGCTTCCCAGCTCGGGGCTCCAGCAGACAGCAGGGAGCATGTGCCAGCCACAGGGAGAGCCAGCCACCGCGGCTCTGGGAAGGGTAAGGAGCACAGCCCTGCACCAACCTAGGCGTGATCTGGGACAGCTCCTCCTCTCTGGGCGGCTCAGTGCCCACGGAAACCTGTGGGGATAATCCCTCCAGCGTCCTTTCAGCTCTTCACATCTCCACGGGACCCAGGGATCAGCTAAGGTTTGGCCAATAGCGGCTCATGCTGAAGGCGCAGGGTCAGGAGGGGAGGCGAGAGAACACGTGTTTGCTCACCATGCACCCTGGCTGGATGTCAGGACCCGACCTTCGCTCTCCCCACAGCCTGCAGCCCCACTGGCAGGACGGCTGAGGCCCAGCGGGGCTGCACTTACTCCAGGCTCCACCGAGAGGACGGAGCTGCCCCGTCACCTGCCCGAGGACACAGCGCCTGCCGCTCACCTGGGAAGGCATTGATGTCAATGACAGCGTGCTGCCCTGTCTGGTTGTTGATGATGATGTCGATCCCGAAGAGAGACACGCCCAGTGCCTGCCGCAGGGCCCGGGAGAGCTGCCGGATGACCTCGTCACTCGGCCGCTCAAACACGCCCTCGATCTTGTCCAGCTGCCAATACACCAGTCACACCACACACACACACACACACACACACACACACACACACACAGGAGTCAGGCCGTAAGTGGGGAGGCGCAAAGCCACACACCACAGAGACCTTCAGACAAGGGGGTAGGACAGACCAGCACCAGGATTGGCTATTTCTAAAGTCCTTTAAAAAATGTTTTTACTGATTTTAGAGAGAAGAAGGGAGAAGGATAGATGGAAACATTGACAAGAGAGACATATCGATTAGCTGCCTTCTGCACACCCTCCACCCACCGGAGATCGAGCCCATAACCCGGGCATGTGCCCTGACTGAGAATCAGACGTGGCCTCTCTGTGCCGCCGTGGCTCATCTGAGAAACAGAACCAATGAGGCTCCCACCCCGATGACTGGGGGGACCATGAGGAACTACGTGGCAGGGACAGCACATGCCTGCGGGGAGGAGGACAGCGCTGTGTCACCTCTACGTCAGTCAGAGTAGGGCTCCTGGGAGGTGCCCCACTTGCTGGAGTCCCAGGACTGTGGGCTCAGGGGCCAAAGGGGCACTGACCCATCAGAAATAAAAGTGAAGCTGTGTCACAAAGTTAAACACGGAATTGCCTGTGACCCAGAAATTCCACTCCTAGGTGTGTACCCAGGAGACGGAAAGTGGGTATCTGCGTGCCGATGCTCACAGCGGCAGGATCCACAAGAGCCAGAATGGCCTCAGCAGATGGTGAACAGGCTGTCACCCACACGGAGTGTTCCCCAGCCACGTGCTGCAGCGTGGGAAACGTGGACGGCCTGGGGAACGAGGCTGCGTGAAAGCCAGGCCCAGCAGGCCACACGCTCAGGACTCCCTGAACCTGAAGAGCCCAGGAGAGCTAGATCCGCAGACCAACAGCAGATGAGTGGGTGCCAGGGCTGGGGGGGTGGGGGTGGGGGATGCTGAGGGGCACAGGGCTTCCTTTGCAGGTGAAGGTGCTCCAAGCCACTGACTTGTTCACTTTAAAAAAGTGAGGCTGGTCTGGGCGGCTGGGGACAGCCCTGGGCACCAAGGACAAAGGGCCCCGTCCCAGCACAGGAAGCTGCCTGGCAAGCGGGAATTTCGGACCCGTGTGAGCAGGGGCCCCTCACGTGGGCAGCGCCTGCGCTCCTAGGTGAGCCCCCACCCCCGCCTCTGCACAAAAGGCAGGGCCCCTCATGCCCAGACCTCTGTCTTGGCATCTTATGGGGGAAACACTTTCTAAGGGGCTGTGATGGGCACTCACCACTGAGCCCCCGCCGCCTCCTGGCACTTGGCCCTGCGGCAGCTCGCCCCTGGTCCTGCCCGCTGCGTGCTGAGCCTCAGGGGCCCTCTGGGTCTGGTTTTCTCACCCGGTCAGTGGGTGCACAGACACCCTCGCTCTGGGACAGTGGTGAGGGTCCAAGAAGCTAATGTTCAAGGCTCACAGCGCAGGCCTAGCAGCGACAGCCCTGGCGGCTGCATCAGCACGAAGTCTCATGACATGCTATTTATACAAGCCTTTCTCAGCTCAGTAAGGAATCTCAGAAACCACCCCGGAGCCCTTCAGTATCTGAACTTCCAAAGAGCCGCCTAGACAAGATAAAGGCATGGAAGTCCTGCCCGTGGCATAAACAGAAAGGAGACGATGATGCTCTGGACGATGAGGCAGTGACAGGAGGGAGGGAGCCGTGTGCATGTGGACTGCCATCACAGCTGCACTGCTGGCCCTTCCTACCCACCTGGCACTGCCCTGCGGGGCAGGAGGGAGAAACCGAGGCTCAGGGAGGCCCAGTGACTCTCCTGAGGCCACACAGCTGGGATGTTGTGGGCTTGGTCTGACCCCAGGCAGCCTAGTCAGTATCCACACTCTTGACCGATACCCTATCCTGGCGTTTGGGGTCTGCTCACTGGGTGTGGGAGCGGGGGCATCAGCTGTGGATGGACGGGCTTTAAGGCCAGGCAGGGCTCCCTGCAGGGGACGCTGAAGGGAATGGGGCCCTGAGTGGGCAGGAGGAGGGTGGGAGTGTCTGGGGTGCAGCTGTCGGTCCCGACCAGCCTACAGGTGTGAGGAGAGGCTCATGTCCTAAATGGAAAGGGGACAGCTGACTGCATTTCCCTTCAGTTCCAGGAGTTCCTGAACAGCAGCCATGAGTGGGGGGGGGGGGGGCGCAGAGGAGATAACGAAGACCCTACAGGCAGAGGCGGCCCCAGAAGTGCCCTGGGAAGACCCTCCCCTTCACAGACAGAGACAGGGGAGGGGGAGACGGGACAGTCCAAGGTCACTTGGGGTGGGTCACTCTGCATAGGGCCCTGGCATCAGCTACAGCCCCAGCAGCCAACAGACCCACGCACGGTACAGGGACAGTGTCCGCGGAAGCCTGTGCAATGCCGGCTTCCCTGTGCCAGCCCAAGCAATGCCTGACAGCTCCGAGGGGAACTGGGCTCGCCTAACGTGTCTGAAGCTTAGGAGACCAGACGGCCCCCTACCCGCTTTTAAACCCTTTCTTGTGCAGTCTATTTCCATCTCCTAATGCACACAGCCAGTCCCGGAGCTTCCCTGACGGAGAAATGCCCCTCACCATTCTGAAGGCGCTGGGTTCCCTCCAGGCCCTGTCCACACCTGTGGGCGGCCCACCCCCAGCACACAGCTGGCTCCTCAAGGGAAGCGCAAACCAGAGACGGACAGGTGGCCGGCCGGGGAGGAGGTGGCAGGGCAAGCACAGGCCCTGACGTGGAACAGAAGGGAGTGGGGTCCGAGGCAGGTCTCTCTAGAGCTCGTTGGTGAGGCCAGAGGACAGGGAAGGGGACACGGGCAAATCCTCCCAGAAGAGGAGGACGGCCAAGTCGGGGAGCAGGAGACCCAGCAGGGGCTCCCAGCAGAGGGTCCCCAGTGAGATAACAAGTCCTTGACCCCTGGGGACAAGCTCTGGAACTAGATGGGCCTGGGGTCAAGTCCCAGCTCTGCCCTGGGAGCTCGGAGAAGCCACCAGCCTGCAAGCACAGCCCCCCTCGGAAAGCGGAGGTGCCCTGCCCGCCCTGCCCGGGGCCTGGCTGCAATGCCCCAGGGCATCCAGGAGGGAGCCTGACACACAGCAACACTGACCAGCAGCCCTGAGCTCACCACCCACCGAGAAGCAGCCCAGGAGCCACAGAAGTGACAGCGGGCTGTTAACACTCCCGGGACACACACAGACAAGGAAAGTGAAAGGAGATGGCATGGCCTCTCGCCCCATCTTTAAATCAGTAAAAAGCAGGGTCTCAAGTTCCTCCTGACTGGGGAGCTCCCCATGCAGGGGGAAGAGCTGGAAAACCTCCCCTGGCGTGACCTGGTGGGGCCTGAGCACGCAGGTCGTCAGCACGAAGGCCCGGGGCAAGCAGGCCAGAGGCCTCTGGGGAAGGCCCCTCCGACCCTGCCCACAGGAGAGCTCGACCCTGGGCCCCGCAGCCAGGAGCACACCCGCCCCAGGCTCACACCAACCACCAAGGCAGCAGGGACATACCTCCGTCAGGACTGATGACGACTCCGGCTTGGACACGTTGTGGCTGTTGAAGAAGATGGACTTGCGGTCTGAAAAGCGAACACACGGAGAAGCCAGTTAGCAGCTCAAAAAGGGGATGGCAATGCCACCGCCCAACACCAGGGGGCAGCACCACCCCAGCCACAAGTGACAGTGGCTGCATGAGCCTTCAGGCTGTGTCCAGCAGCTGCCACCTGAGGCCCCAGTGAGCCGGGCACCCCCACCCCAAGGAGACACTAAGCCACGGACGGACACATGCCCGCTCAGGGCTGCTGTTTCAAATTTCCTTCCCATAGAAAAATGACTGAGTGAGCCCACCAGGGTAAGGGCTGGTTCTCTCCAACACCTGAAGGCCCCATCCCCACACCGTGTCCTGTGGACCCGGCATCAGAAAGCCGGGTGTGTGGCTACGTGGACAGGAAATGCCGCACACCCTACTATCCCAGGCCGGGATGAAGCGGCTGGGAATGCCACTTGGCCCAGCCTCCCCGGCCCTCCTTTCCCGGGACCACTGGGGAAGCAGTGAGGCTGCACTTGGCATGTGAATGCTGAAAACACAAAGAGTTCTGCTGTTCCCCCGCTATTTAGGGGAAAAGTAGGAAATCAGAACGTGGGTGTCTGTAGGTAACATCCAAGAAGGCACACAGAACCACCTGCCTGGCTCTGGAAGCTGGCATGGCCCCCTGAATGCCCTCCACCTCCTTCCACCCCGTTCCCCCGACCCATGCCCACCTTCACTGCACCCCATGTCACTCAAGCCCATGGGGCACCCAGACAGGCAGGCCGATCCCAAGAATAATGGGAGCGACAAGGCCGGTTTGTGTGTTCACCCCTGGGAGAGGAAATGAAGGTCGTCGGCCAGGCAGAAGCATGTTCTCGAGCACTTGGGAGAGTGGGCACCGAATGTAAGCATCGCAAACATGGGCCTGGGGCCAGGTCCTGGAAAAGGCTGCCTATCATCCCCCACGAACCCCCAGGCATGACATGGCCCCTGAACGCAGGACAGGGAGGCTGAGCACCATCGTGTGCCAGGGCCCAGGCCGAGGGGCACCTGCTCTGGCTGCCAACAGCCCCACCAGGACTACGGCGATGCCATGATCATGCATGAGGAAGGATGTGGGCGGAGGCCAAGCAGGCAGGTGCTGAGATGTACCTGGCGTGCTTCCTGCCAGCGAGGCACACAGGCCCCGTGCCGCCCAGGAGTGCCCGACGGTCCTCCCGTCGCTCCAATCAGAGCCGGTCCAGACCGGGGGCATGAGAGATGGTCCTGGGGAGGAGCCTGGGGAAAATAAACACCCGGCAGGACTCGTGCCAAGCAGCTCGCCGACCGCTACTCCTAAGCACCGGCAGCAAGAGTGAGCCATGGGGACAGAGTGTCCCGGGCCAGAGGCCGGAGCAGAGCTCTCCAGCCTCCTGCAGGCACTGACAGCAAGAGTGAGCTGGGGGGTAGAAGCCCCCGGGCCAGAGGCCGGAGCAGGGCTCTCCAGCCTCCTGCAGGCACTGACAGCAAGAGTGAGCTGGGGGGTAGAAGCCCCCGGGCCAGAGGCCGGAGCAGGGCTCTCCAGCCTCCTGCAGGCACTGACAGCAAGAGTGAGCTGGGGGGTAGAAGCCCCCGGGCCAGAGGCCGGAGCAGGGCTGGAGCTGCTGGGACGGGCATTCCAGCCTTTGGCAGGCATTGCCCACCTTCTCGCCTGCACCCAGCCTGGCCCAGCCCCACTGAGCTCATTTCCTTAAAGAAAAGATACCCAGTTCCTCTAAAATGGCCCTGGCCAGGCCCTGGCCCTCTGATGGCAGGAACACCCTGGATGTGGGGGCCCATCCATTCTCTGCTCCCCGACTGTTCCTGGTGAAGGGCCATCACCACCTCCCTGCAGGGGAGGGAGAGCAATGAGAGAAATATGGGTGCTTCTGCCCCCGATTTACAGATGAGAACAGCAGATTCAAAATAAGGAGAGTAAGTGACAAGATTAGCCCCAAATATCCTGTAACCAGTGGTGCAGCCATGAGCTACACTGCACTCCCTTCAGCCCCTTGTGCTGAATCTTCATGTCTCCCTCTGGGGGGGCGGGGGTGGGTATCACAGAGCTGTGGATGGTGACCCAGGTCTTGTTCAGGTTCCCATACACTGGTCACCTCTGCAGGGGGCCCGCCCTGACCGCTCTGTCCAAGTGGCTCCCTTCACTCAGTGGTGTCCCGGGACCCACTTATCTGGTGCCTTAATGAACCCTTTTATTATTTCTTTCCTCGTGTGCAGGAAAACACAAGTCCGGGAGGGCAAGACGTGTGGCTGACTGCTGGATCCCTCAGAGGCTCTAGGTGAAAGACCAGCAAACCACATCTGTAAATAAAGTTTTATTGGAACACAGCGTGCCCATTCATTTACATAGTGCCTGCAGTACGTTCACGCTACAGTGGCAGCGTTAGATAGCCATGATAGAGCTGGAAATATTCACTATCTGGCCTTTTGCAGAGAAACGCCCGCTGACGCTCTCAATGGGAAAGTGCATCATTCCTGTCTGTATCCCCAAGCGAACAAGGCCCCGGATGGAAAGCATGTCAAGGCACTGTGCCCGCAGAGGAAGTGCCCTTTCTGACCCTGGCAGGGAGCGGTCTCCCCAGACCGTGACCCACAGGCAGAGAACAGAAGCGCTCCTGGTGGCGGGTACAGGCCAACGCCACCTGCGCAAGAACCTGACTTCAGTTTCAGTCGACCAACTTGCCAGGCGCCACTGGCTGTGGGACACCCCTGACTTCAGAGAGGTTAAAACGTAAAACCGGAAGTGCACCCGAGAAGCTGAAGAGCACGCAGCCGTGGGGGCAGGACAGCGTCCCCTCCGCCCCGTGTCCCGGAGAAGCCTGCTCAGGTTGCCCCCAGCTCCCCACGCCACAGGTGAGGCCGGGGCACCACACTGGGCAATGGGAACCGGAAGGGGGTGGGGCTGGAAAGAGCCCAAGGCCCCCTGTCAATCAGTCCAGCTTCAGGGCCGCTGTCAGGTGCAGAACACGCATGCGAAAAGAACAAAGCCCACACCAGCTCCTGGGCGGTGCCGGAGACAGCGATAGGGACTTGGTCCTGGGGGTAGGTGGGGGCAGACCCAGTAGCATGTCTCCACCGGCTCAGTGTGTTATTTGCTCATTCACTCGGCCCCGGTCCACATTTTATGGCAAACTGGCAACCTGGAACCGGCCACAGGAAGACACAGACGTGGAGCCCACGCCCTCCTGACATGGACCAGTGCTTTGCAACCAGGAGAGAATGGGGGCACTTCTGCGTGGAAAGGAAGAAAACTGTGGTGTGCTTCTTTAAGAGACGGGGTGATTGTGTTAAAGAAAGAAAGAGGAAAGGAGACAACCTAATGTATGGCTACTCTTAATCTACTACATTTCCAAAGATTTGAAGACATATTTTTTTGAAATGTGGATTTTAAAAAACAACAACCCATCAGCCAAGGATTTAAAAAAACCGTCAGCCCCTTTTGGCCCACAATTAATAAGAATGCCTCAGTGGTTGAGCATCGACCTATGAACCAGGAGGTCAGGGTTCGATTTCCGGTCAGGGCACATGCCCAGGTTGTGGGCTCAATCCCTAGTGTGGGGCATGCAGGAGGCAGCTGATCAATGATTCTCTCTCATTATTGATGTTTCTCTCTCTCTCTCTTCCTCTCTGAAATCAATAAAAACTAAAAATCAATGGAAAAGGATGAGGATTAACAAAATAAATAGTTTGGTACAAACAACCTCACTCAACAAAATCCTAAGAAATTGTAATCGATTGTCTCCATTTTATAACGTGGAACTAGCCATCTAGAAACATATCAGATGGTCACACTCAAACAAAAAGTACTAGAAAGAGAAATTAAACGTAGACCTGATTCTTGGCGCGCTCCCACCCCGGCGGGC